GAAGGTTGTAGCCAAACTGTAGAAAACAAATACCCCATTCTTTAGGAATTGTACCATTCAAGTAATTGCGAGAGAGGTCACTGTAATAGAGGGAGCGGGAGTGGGAGAGAGAGAGAGTTTGTCATGCAAAATACTATATATAGATACAAGCAGTTGAAGATATTAAACAAGTTCAATAATATGGTTAATTGGATGTGGAAAAGTGTGAGAAACACTTACATAGTTTGAAGGTATTGCAACCTGTTCAGTTCTCGTGGGAGAGTGCCTTGAAGATTTTGCCCTTTCAAACTTCTGTATGTTCATTTTTTCATTAAAAAGTTATTAAAAGAAAATAATTTTATGTTTCTCAGTTCGTAGATTTAAAAGGAAAAATTGCAACAAGTTCTTCTACAACAAAGTTTTAAAGCTGACATTACTATATGTCAAACATAACTTAACAAAAATACATATGTTTGATAATTGATTTTACTTTAAAATCTTAATTGTATTGTAAGGTATAGCACTAGTATAGATGCGTATAATGATGAGAACATTAATTTCATTGTAGGGTATAAGCATATCAATTAAGTTTGCTGAGTGGAATTAACCGATCTAACTCGTGTGTACATACATACTTTATACAATATCAACTCCTGCCTCTATATCAATGTAAATACTTGATTGCTATTGTAAATGAAAAAATATTCAAATCGAATTAACTAGATTTAGAAGTGGTGATAGAAAGGGGTCATTTCCACGAAAAAGAGACTTACATTATAGTAACATGACAGAAGTTCTCACCAGGAACAGAGCAGTTACAGGTAACATTGTTCTCTAAGATTTTGGGTATGGGAGGCGTAAACCAGTTAGGTTCGTTGCTGCATGGATCTATGTCGAAGTTCCAGTCCTTCTTACCAAGTGATATAGCTATATCTTCAAGAGCTTTCTCTAAATATACAAATTCAGAAGCTATTAGTGAAAATTTTCTAATCAACACAAACGTCATCAAATATATATACAGAATTCCTATATGAGCAGAAAAATACATGGTATTTAAACTAACATGAATTCTTAGATAAAATACACTAAAAAGAAATATCAGATTGAAGATATTTCTTTATGATTTGGGAGCTATGTAGAAATACATATCACACTTTCGTCCGGGTGAACTGTAGTAGCTCCAAAAGCTGTTAGAGATATGAGCCATATGGCAATGAGTGAAAGGAAGAAAAACTGAGAGGAAGTGTTCATGTTAATATTAACAAGAAAAAGAGAAGTTGAATAAATCAATAATTTAGAGGTAGAGAGTATGAACATATATAGCGTATTTGGACTTTGAAGTTCTCTGTACATATAAATGCATAGTTATTAGGGTGGTGTAAATTTTGTATTTCATTGTTTAGTTCTAATGAAATCGGCGGCTAAACCCACACATTAATATTAAGTGTTAAGAAGAGGACAATTGTGTGTTCAACTTGCATCCGAGCATAACAAATGTTTGTGCAACTTTTTACTATTGATAAGTACTTACGACTTACGTGACACGGTGGTGTCAATTTGTTCTTTAAAATTATTGATATGTCAAATGCAAAAGTCATCAATCATACTAGTTCTTTCGAAAGGGTTAATCTAATCCCTAAAACCGTTTAGGAATAACTAGTTTGATTGAGATTTTTTTTTAATTTAAGCATTATGTTTAAAATTTTCTTATATTAGGACAAAAAAATGAGATCATCAACAATTTTATAAAGCAAACTGATGAATCAGGCACAGACAAAACAAACTTATGCAAAAATAGTAGCAGAAATAAGAGCAAAACTTATGTGCCTGATCAACAAATCCCCCACAAAGAGAGTCAACCTATTTCCCCTGTGGCTACACCAATTTCACATACCACACAGATTCCCATTCATAGATAAGAGAATGCATGTCCTATTTTTACACCTACAGTCAATTTTGATTTTAACAGTGACTCAGACTGATAGCGACTATGACCCTTTTACAAGTAAGTCTATTGCCATCTACAACATTATACACGACAATTCATTCCACAAGCTTTCAATTCAACACTCACTACTATTGACATTTCTTTATTTTTCATTCATATCATATTTATACGAAGAGGATTACGACACCGATATAAAGGATAACGAAGAACCTTTCACAATTCATGACAATGGCAACAGAGCCTCTGAAGGTATATAGATTTTACACCATTTACCACTATATTAAATTTCTGGCAGTTACACCAACGGAATGACGGAATGAAGAAGGAAAATGCTAAGCTTGAACCATTCCTACACTATATTGATTCAGAATCTTACCAAGGTGGAGAAGACGGAATGACCGGCGGCGGCGACGACTGAAGAGGAAGGAACGAACGGCAGCGACGACGACTGAAGAGGAAGGAACGAACGGCGGCGACGGCAGAAATGAGGAAGCTTAAGACGAACGAAGAAATGAAGAAGATCTGAACGAAAGAAATGAAGAAGAATAAAGAACAGATTTAGGGATTTTTAATTTTATTAAAAAAACAACCTACGAAAGCGCTTTTAAAAGCGCTTTCGTATGCCCCCCATATGAGAGCGCTTCTGAGGTAAAAAGCGCTTTCGTAGGTCCCCCTTTCAAAGCGCTTTTCAAAAGCGCTTTTATAGGGCCACCTATAAGAGCGCTTTTCAAAAGCGCTTTCGTAGGTTAGATATTTCAAATACCTATGAAAGCGCTTTCTGAAAAGCGCTTTCGTAGGGAACCCTATGCCAGCGCTTTTAAAAAAGCGCCTTCGTAGGTTTCCCTTTTTTTTAATTTTGTTTTTTGTGAAGGCTATGGCAGCGCTTTTTCAATAAGCGCTTTAGTAGAGGCGCTGCAAAAAGCAGTTTTTGGCGTAGTGAGGTATTTGATGACCCAACAGAATTAACACAAGATGATTCATATAATTTGCGACTCCATTGGGCAAAATATTTCTTTGAGTTATATAAAAATTAAGGTTTATCTAGTGAGTGTTATAGAATTGTCTAAGTTGTGGTTTTTGCACATAATTGTTATTATTGAGTTTTTTCACATTACATGTGATTTTTGTACATGTATTGAGTTTCTTGATATTTTTTGCTGATGTTAATTGTTATTATTTATTGTCAGACAATGTGATTTTGGTGTTGTCTACCGAAGTTATAACTCATCTACTTGTGGATTTTATATTGGTAATTCAAGTTTGGAAAAAGACTTATAAATAGTTGAATATTTTTGTATGGTTTGTGAAGAATATATATATATATTTGTAAGTTTGTTGTGAGTTTGTTTATTGTGATAAAATTCAAGTTTGCAATACAATTGTTCATTTTGTAAGTTTGTTGTGAAAAATATGAAAATATCGACCTAGATGTGGTTTATGTGATGTTGGAAAGCTATGACATATATATATAGCAACCAAAATTTAGTCTGTATGATATTGGAAAAATATTAAAAAATTGGGTAGCAATTTTAATTTTACAGGGAATCATCCAGAAAATAAATAATTTATTCAAAAAAGATTGCTTACATTTTACATCGGGCATTAATAGCAACCGATGTAAAAACTATCAACACTGACTCTTTTACATCGGTCATTAATCCCAACCGATGTAAAAAGGGTGTATTTTACATCGGTTCCAAGTTAGCCCGATGTAAAATGTTGCGTCAATTTTATTTAAAATAATGTTATAATTGTTTTTTAAATCAGGCTTAGTTTATAACCTATGTGTTAACTGTCTTTTTCACATCAGATCCAGAACCAATGTAAAAAGTCTCTGATCTACTATATCGCCTGACTTTACATCGGACCCAGAACCGATGTAAAAAGTCATTTTCGCCCGATGTAAAAAGGCATTTCTGCACTAGTGGTGTTGTCATCATCAAAACTTTGAGAATGTTATCATCAATATCATTAACTTCATACTTAAAAGCACATAGATCCATAGAACGGTCTCAGATGCACCAAATGTGTGAATGCGTCATAAACGATCCATAGATCTATATCGCCTTAAAAGCATCAATGATTACAATAAATCTACATTCATAAATGAATGAAGATTCAATGCAGTCACTGATGCACACATTCACACATTTGATGTATCAGTATATGTTAATTCGAACAATATCAAACCATTTAAATATATGTTTTATATTTTAAATTATAATTAAAAAATTAAATATAAAAAATTTTAAACCATCATATCTTGATCAAACAGTTATTGATGCACTAAATGTTTGAACATGTGCATCAATGATTGCAATGAATATCTGCATTCATAAATAGATGCAGATACTTTGCAGTCACTAATGTACATATTTATATATTCAGTGCATCACTAACCGTTTGATCAATATCAAACAATTTAAATATAAGTTTTATATTTTAAATTATAATTCAAAAGTTAAAAATTATATTTTTTTAACCATCACATCTCAATCGAACGATACTATGTCCCAAATGTATAAATATATGCATGAGTATATGCATGAGTGACTGCAGCGAATATACATTCATAAGTGGATGCAAAATTCAAGCAATTTCATTTGCACTTATTCACACATTTGGTGCATTAGTGACCAATTAATATAAACTCGTTTAAATATATTCTTATTTCTTGCCTTTAAATAGTTCCCTTCTTGACGTATGTTTTTCCATATTACTTATGTGGCACCGTATTTTATTTGAAATCTTTTTATCAATAAAAGATACTACACTTTTATTTGAAATCTGATTCAGTTACCACATGACATATGAAGGGTTTATCATATTATTTTAGAATTAATATTTGATTAGTCGAACTTTTTTGCTATGGTTTAGAAAAGCATAGCCGAATAGAAAGAATGTGTACATGTGCTTGAGTATATTTGTGACACATACATCAAGTATTTCCATTCAACATTTATTACGGTAGAATAAATAGTCTTACATAAGATATAGTCACTGACGTATAAAATGACTTATTGTTTCACATGATTCTGAAAAAGGAAAGCTCCAACTAAAAAGAAAAACAAGTTTATAAGTTGCTTCCTAAAACATTATCAATAAATTTTCCAACAGAAATGACAGAAGATCCACCGTTAGCAACAGCATTCCTTGCCATCTCTTTAATCTCTTCCACCTTCTTGTGCACAATGTTATCTCTATCCATCAAATCCTTCAACCCTTTCTCAATCTCCTCAGCCACCACATTGTCACTACCCCTTCTATAATCCACTCTCAACTCCACACCTAACTTCAATTCCTTCACCATCCTAAAAGCATTAAGCTGTTGTTCTGCATAAATAGGCCATGTCAATACTGGAACACCAAACCACAAACTTTCCAAAATAGAATTCCATCCACAATGTGAAACAAATCCACCTATAGCCTTATGTGCCAATATCTCAACTTGAGGTGCCCATTCACATATCATTCCCTTACCTTCCAATTCCATCCATTCTAAAAATTCTTCTGGTGGAGACTTCACAGTCCATAAAAACCTAAATCCACTATTCTTAAGTCCTAATGCTATTTCTCTTATTTGAGATGGAACAAAGCTAATTCCTATGCTTCCAAAACATAGAAAAACAACAGATTTGTTAGGCTGTTCATCTAGCCATTTCAATATAAGATCGTGTTGAGGTTGATCCAAATAAGGGCTAGGGTTACCTTTGAGACCTAACAAAGGTCCAGCAGCATAGATAGGAGGGACTTTTTCATCATGATTAGATAATGCATCAATTGAATATTGTTCCAATTCTGAAAAAGTATTAACAATAATCCCTTTGGTGTCTCTAAACCTCTCAGCAAATTTATAATAAGCAACATATCCACCATGTTTGTTAAAAAAAGCATCAGGTAAAACATTAAAAGGAACTGGAATTGAGAAGCCATGAATCAAGAGTTGATGATCAAGGTCGGAATCATCGAAAATGTCCTCGATTCGGCGGTTTTGAAGCGAGAGCATGAGACTTAAAAAACCAACACTTGATGTTAGAAACAAATAAGAAGGTATTCCAAGTTCATTTCCAACATCAATCATTGAAACACAGAAGAAATCTAGGACTAACCCAACAACTTTGTCTGATAAAATGGTTTGTATAGCAGATTTGACATGAGGTATGAGACTTTCCATGAAAGTCAAGATGAAGAACTCTGGGGATTTGAGTAGTTCTTCAGGAGGTCGTTGAACTTCAGGAAGATCAATGAGTTGGATGTGTGGCTCTGAGGCTAAAGCTGCTTTGATGTATGAATCTGAAATGAGAGTGCCTGGGAATTTGATGCATATGACTGTGATGGAAAGATTGGCATGAGTATTGACCAAGAGCTTTGCAAATTCAAGTGAAGAAACTAAGTGGCCAATCCCTGGTGCAGGAACGAAGATTAGTTCTGAGTTTTTCTTCATCTCATTCATAGCCATTTTTCTTTGTGTTTTCTCTGTGGTGTACAACTCCCTTTAGTTGGGTGAGAGTACTTACAACGATAAGGATTTATTTCTCACTATGTGGTCATACGAGAAACTTAGTGTTACACAATTTTGCTGCCATCCAACTATTTTAGTCAATTTGTGGCGTTCGTGCAATTATTACCTAAAATCTTTTGCATCCAACTAGTAAGTCTCATAGACGTGGATTTCTATCATGGGTTACAAAATTCAGTGCTTTTAACAAGTCAATTTGATTGGTCAATAGAATAATAATTCATGTTACATTACCGTTGATGAATTTTTTATATATGAAACTTATACCTATTACACATCAATTTTTCATTATGTTAATAATAATTTATCAATTAAAAACAACTTTTATTTGAATTTAAATTAGATAATAATTTATAACTAGTTTTATTTAACAAAAATTAATTTTTCAATTAAAAACCTAAATCCAAGTCTCAAATCCAAACTAATATGTTTTCGTCCTCCTTCTTTTTCTTTTTCTTTCTCCCATACCATTATCCATCTTCTTTCAACGGTGTAGGTCAAATTCTTTTTAGTCTATCATTTAATGTAATGATAAATATGTAAGTGTTAGTCATCAAAAAAGTGTTGAATTTGTTTCAATTTGAAGTTTAAACTAAATCAAACCGAGTGAAAAAATTTGTTTAATAGCGAAATATTCAAATTTTGTTAGAATGCTAAATTTAGTATTGAAATTCAAATTTTGTTTTGCATGTTTGGGCTTAATAAATAAATGTTAATGAAATAAATGAAAATTGCTGTTGCTTTCCAATGTCAAATTTTGTTACAATGCTAAATTTTTGCACACTGAACATATGGTTGAATTATGTTGTTACATAGTCACTTAAGTTTTTTTTTTGTTGCATTTTAAAACCGTTAGAATAATATAGAATAATATAACAACTGTGAGTAAGTGGGAAAATAGTCTCACATTATATAAGAGTATGAAGACTTGATAATATATAAGTGAGAAAACTCACTCATCTATCATCTTAAAGTTTTACGTGAATAAGTGATATATCTCTCACAAAAGTATCTATTTCTATACTATATATCGATGTTCTTAATAACTCCCCTCAATATAACATAACATTTTATTATTTTTTATGAGTTATTGGGAAATAAAGTTATAATGTCTATTTGGTATGTATCTGCCATATAGTATGTTTTGAATTTTTGTACCAAAAAAAATAGTAATGTATTATTAACCATTATATGTCAAACTGGTAAGTGTCAAAATACAGTAAACTATCATATGCCAAACATAGTCAAAACACTGTCAACTATCAAAACGCATAGTAAAATCACATAGCATACAATCAGATTTTAGAAAATACAACCCAATTATAAAAAAATTATAAAAGAAAAACCAAATTATCCCAAATCATTGAAGAAAACCAAAAGAATGCAAAATACTGTGAAGACAAAAATTATCCCAACACTATATCAAATATACCTTTGATAACACTATATTATTACGATTGTTTAAGCAATCGTAGTAATAACTCATCTTAATACGTCTGAATTTATTTTAATTTTATTAAAAGATATTTTATCATAGTTCATAATAACAACTGTGAGGATAGATGAAAAGTTATATACTTCGAATTTCAGCACCAACAATTTTTTTATTTTTTTGTTACAAAAAGTGTTTGTCCATATATTCTTATAAATATATTAAATTTAAAATATCTATCAGCACAGTTAGTACCAGAAATTATTGTGAATAATACTTATATTTTATCACAGTTTTTGTTATCAACCGTGGTGATAAGCGTTTTATATATATGCGTTACTTTAAATTTATTTAGAAAATGATAATCTGAAAAGTAAGTTATATTTGAAAACTAATTTAGTTCAATCAATGTTTTTTGAATTGCATGCTTCTTGTAATTTATCTCCCGCTCTTTAACATATAGAATTTAGTTCAAAGCTCCAAGTTCTTCAAAACAACGATCATTTTCTCCTAGTTTATTTTGGAACACATTATATTTGTTGAGAAATTCGGAGTCGTCGTCATCATTATTTATTTGATGATGATGACTATTATGATGACAACAATTACGATGAGTCAGAATTAGTCAACAAATTGATTCTTTTCAAAATAAACTAGAAGAGAATAAACTTTTGCTTTGAAGAATTTGAATCACTGAACCAAATTCTATATATTAAAGAGCAGGAAATGAATTACAAGATACATGCAATTCAAAAAATAGTGGATCGTCTAAGTTGTTTTTCATGAATAATTTAATTTTTCAGATTATTATCTTCTAAATCAATTTGAATGGTCGAATATATTTATTGAGAGGTAACGGAAAAAATAAGCAATCCATATATTTTATAATAAACTCATATAATATATAATTGTGGTGAAATATTGATATTATAGGCACTTTCATTAAATTGTTGCTGCCGAGTTTCGAACCCATGAACTCACTATGCCAAACAAGACATTAGACAGCGTTTTTTTTTGCTTTTAACAGCGCTGTTAAAAGTAAAGACAACACTTTTTTTCAATGTAAAAGCGTTGTTTTATGTCCACTTTAGGCAACGCTTTTACATTAAAAGCGCTTTCTTATGCACCCTCTTTAGACAATGCTTTTTTATATACCTCTTTAGCAGCGCTTTTGCTTTAGATATCCCTTTATGTTATTTTTTAAGTTAGGCTTTAGACAACGCTTTTCTTTAGAATAGCGCTTTCCCACTTTAGGCAGCGCTTTTTGACTTTTTACAGCGCTTTTCTCTTAAAGCATTGTCTATTGATCACGATTTTTTAAAATAAAATACCTATTTTGACTTACAAAAGTGTTGTCTAATATATATAATGCATTTTAATTAGATTTTAACCATATTTGAACAAGGTTTTCACCATATTTGGTAGCTTCATTCCAATAAAATATGCATATATAAAAATTCCACATATATATAAATTGATGATATATACAACAACTACAAAATTTATGATACAAGTTAAAATTCTACAATTTGAAAATCCTAAAGTTCAAAATTGATGTTACATCTACATCTGTTTACCGTGGTTTTTGGTAAACAACCGCTGATCTCCAAAAAGGAAAGTTCTTTTTGGTTTACTTACGGGATCGATCAGATTAATCCCAGAACATATGCTAATTTTTATGTAAGACAGATAAGCAGGAAGAACGCACGTTCGACCCAGAGAAAAGATGTTTGAGATTTTGGAAAAGTAGACAAAAATGTAAAAATGCAGGTAAAGAAGAAAGAAAGATAACTTTGCAAGACAATATTAAAGTAATGTAAAAGACTTTCATTAATAAAAAGAGGTGTTTCCAACGTATATTTCTCAGTTTTATCCTTTCTCACGCAGTGGTTACTTGGATAATTTTTGAGTGACTAGTACAATAGGTTGAACACACTTTTTAAAACACACAGGTTTCCTAATTTATACTAAAAAATAAGTAACCGTCGAGGGATCATTCTGCGCTAAGATGAAGACAAGTGTCTTCTGAATGTCCCTCGACCTATGGCTTTCAGCCACGTTGCTTCGTCTTAGCCGCTGGCGAAACTGCCTTTCCCTCCAATAATTCAAAATTCAAATATCCCTCGTATCATGTGTCAAAGCGAGGATATTTTCTCCCAGTCGAAGGACATAAGTCCTCTTTAGTCGAAAAAGACCTGAAAGTGAGCCCTGGTCGAAGGCTCAAATATAACTTAGATTTTTTTCCTAAGTTATTCCATACGTTGAAGCATTCTTCTTAACTTGGTTCATTCCAGTTATTTGGTCTAAAAGACCAAATATAGTAAGTGTCGAATTTGGGAGCCAACAAATTGCCCCCCAAGAATGTCTATTTCGACGCTTAAAGAAATAGCCATTCTTTGATCTTTCCATTCGACACCTGTCTTTCTAGTTGTCCACAAGATTTTGACGTGTGCTTTTCGTCTTCCGACAGCTGCTGCTCTTGAGAAAACCATCATTACTCTTTCCCCAAGATGTCTTTTCTAACTTCCGTTACCACGCTTGCCATGATGACCATATTCCTATAACCTAGGCAAGCATGTCAAACGTTTCCCAATGTCTGCACGGTAACCGCTTCACACTTCGCCACGTGCCCCACTATCTGTAAAACATTAAATGGCCTTGACGAGACATATCCCTCTCTGAAGGCTATAAATACTTCTGAGCCTTTCTATTTAGAACTTTTACCATTTCCAGCATTTCCAAATCTCTTGCTTTCAAACACTTTGTACTATCAACTTCGTTTTCTCCCAAATCTTCATCAATGGCTTTCCTCTCCAATGCACCAAACAATCCTCAACCTAAAAATGTTGATGATATCTAAAACCCACCAGAGGTCTTTTCCACTAACCCTTCTCCTTCCTCGATTGATCAGTACATTGCTGAACCCATGACGAGGGAGTGGCGAGAAGCATATGATTCTCAGCTCCTCATTCCCATTAGGTACAGTGGAGACATGTATGCTATGTCTGGTCCTTTGTCTCCGTGCGTCGAAAATCCCTTGAAGAATCGCGCCTTCTTCCCTACTCACCCAAGGATCAGACCCATAGGTTGCGCGAAGAAGCCTAGGGATGACCCTGAAGATACTACTCTGGCCAATCAACAACACGCTCAGACTACAGAGGATATCAACCTCCAATTCATGAACAAAGGGAACCGGATATTTCGATCAAGCCCTAACCTCTCCTCAGAGTATTCAGACTAGTTGAATAAGATGGAGAAGGCGCAAGCTTCTGTCTGGAAGGAAATGGGCATTTATAACTTGGTGATGTTGTCGAAGACAGGATTGCCTTACTGCCCCCTCATGCTGGTATCTTCACTGTATTTCTGGGATATTGTACATTTCACCTTTCATCTTCCCTGTGGGATGATGACCCCCACTCTATTCGACATAGCTGCAATCACCGGTCTTCGACCGACTGGCGACTATTTCGACCCTGAGGACTTGTCTGAGGATGTTATTGGGTTTGCA